TTGGACCAGAAGTGTGGCTTTTGAAAAGTCACATGTCTAAGTTATCCCTCTAGAAATTGATTCACCCCTTCGGACTGGCCATCTCATGGGGGATGTTGCTGCTCAATTCAATTTTAGTTCCCATCAACCTCATTAATTCCTTATCCTAGAAAATCCTTACAATTTTTTGACTTGTGAAAGGGTGTGCCAGTGCAAAGTAACTATAGTTAGTATTATTTTAAAAAAAGTAACTATATTTAGTAAATATGTCAACTGTCACTAATGAAGTGTCTTTTTTCTCTGATCTGGGCAATTATATAATGAGATCCACAGTAATGTGCGTCTAGCTCTGATAAAGACTGTAATGTGTTGAAGAACTGGATAAGTAGTGTGCTCTAGTGTATACCTTTGACAAGTGGCATTGTTCCTTTGCCTATCTGTACATTGATTTTTTGTTTTTAAATCAAGGTAGGCCAATAAAATGCCCTGGTTATCGAGTGCCTCCAACTCCTGAATGCCCACCAACTGCAGAATTGTGGCAAGCAGGCTACATTATCTTAGCTTCCACTGTTTGCTCACATACAATCTTCTATTATAGTGGAGATACCTATGTTAAAAGCATGAGGAGGCTTCCTTTTAGGATAAATCGCTAGCATTTCTGTTAACCTACAGGCCTGGACATCTCCTTTTGTAACATTCCACCGCATCCTCCAACCAGGTAGAGGCACCATACTGATTGACTACCTGACTAGTTCTGCTTGGTGATTATAAGGTCCTTTTTTGACAAGGCATTTGCCACATTGTTATCACTATCTTTTTTTGTATTGATTGTGTAAGCTAACAGCTTAACAAATGCTCTTTTTGTTGGTGATGGTATTGGTCTTGTGCTCTAGTAGATGCTTGATACTTATTCTGGGAGTAAACACTTCTTTGCATTTCAAGTTAAAATAAGTTAATTTCCTCTATGAATGTGAAATCTATCATGTGTGGTAAAATGGGATGTGACACTGTTCATATTTTGTGATTTTAATCTATTTTTAATTAATGACATGGTGTTTGCTAACCAACATGGCCTTTTGTTTTTTTATATTGGGGATGTTGAATTTGTGGATTTACTGTTCTTGTGTTTCAGCTAAAGTGCTTTAATCATGTTTGGGCGTGCTCCAAAGAAAAGTGATAACACTAAGTTCTATGAAATCCTTGGAGTGTCAAGGAGTGCAAGTCAAGATGAGCTAAAGAAGGCATATAGAAAAGCGGCAATAAAGAATCATCCTGACAAAGGTGGAGACCCTGAGAAGGTGCGTTGGCTTAGTTCCTTGTCTCTATTTAATCTTGAAGGATGGTTTTGACTTGGTGTTTCATGTGATGCTACACGGTTCAATATTTCTTCCTTAGCGCATGCATCCTAGGAAGATGGTGACTTTGGATAGGGAAAAAGAAAATAGCACAAAGAAAAGATGATGCTTTGAAACTTTTGCATTCAAGTCTATTTGTTGTAGAGGTGATGTGCATTGACTTTGATATGTAGCTAATAATGTCCTCGATGTAGTTAATTACAACATCGTATGTTTTGGGTCAAAGTGTGGTTATGGGGTTTGGCTTTTAGCTAATCTTGAAGGTACTAGGCACTGGGCTTAATTGGTCTGCTATTTTGGGTAGTGGCACGTAGTAAAATCTTGGTATTTTTCTCTCAGAAGGGAAAAAATAATATATTTGGCATTTGGTTCACTTTATGTTGGTTTGCTGCTTTGCCGTACTAGCTGGTATGGTGGAAAGTTTGCTACTATAAGTGGGTCATGTTATATATTCGTAATTCTCAACCACTGATGAAACTATTAGTTCTTATATTCTTCTATTCTTCTATTCTTCTAGTTTTTTCTTCTCAAAAAGAAATCTTCATTATTTGGGTTATCCGTCTTTTATGTTTGAAAATAAGAAAGAGAAAGCAGTTCTTTATCAATTCCAAATTGCAGCAAAACCAACTCACATGGGTACTCTACAAGTTCCATCAATTTCAAACTTCAAAAGATTCTAATTTTGAGATCATATAAGAAGGTCAGAGGAGGCAGGGGGGTTCTTTTTTTATTTGTTCCCTTCAATCATATGATGTGGTTCTATTGAGGGAGGAAGGGAAGGAACCTTGTCCTTGAACAGCATGTTACATGTGTTTTACTATTTCTCATTGATATGTATGCTCAATTAGACTTGGATACTCTAAACTACAAGGGCTCAACTACCTGAATCTTTTGATGCCATTCTGCTTTGCTTATCTTCAATTCTTTCATCAGTTCTTTCTCCTGACTGGCACAAAACTCATGATTTTTTTTCCTGAATCAGTTCAAGGAGCTGTCCCATGCATATGATGTTCTTAGCGATCCAGAGAAGAGAGAAATTTATGATCAATATGGTGAAGATGCTCTTAAGGAGGGAATGGGAGGTGGTGGTCCCTCTCATAATCCTTTTGATATATTTGAATCATTTTTTGGTGGAGGGGCCTTTGGAGGTAAGTGGCTGCTTCTGATTTTTTTCTTTATTTACTGTTAAGTTTTTGCCAAAATGATTTATTTCCAATTATTATTTAACTGTAGGTGGTGGCAGCTCGAGAGGAAGAAGGCAGAAGCAAGGTGATGACGTGGTGCACTCCTTGAAAGTTTCCTTGGAAGATCTGTACAACGGAACAACTAAGAAACTCTCTCTTTCTAGGAATATTCTGTGTCCCAAATGTAAAGGGTAGGAACAGCTAATATCTTTCTAGGCCTGCTCCAATTAAGTGTTCATATCACTAGTATTTTAATCTATCTACATGCTTCAGTTTTCTATTTTTTTTAAAAATAGTAACTGATTTTCATACAAGGAGCGCTAATAAAATTTCTTAAAAAATAATTGCTAAATTTCCTTCGTTTCAGTCTCAACATGTGTTGTATATGATATTTGTCCTAGTGAATAGTGACTCTTGTCTTTACATGGAATCACAGGGGTATTTTTTCTGCCCAAATCACATGTGGTTATACTGATTTGTTTTTTTCTTGTTTCCATTTCTACATACCCATGGACATCCATTTGTGTGTCAAAATATTTAATTTTCAGTCATCTGTATCTTTGGCATTCAATTCACTCCGAAGAAATTATTTTCGAGTGTTAGATTGCTGTTAGAACCTTGGATTTTGCAGTTCTGTTGCCATAATACACTTTTCTCCAATAGAATCATGTAGCTCAATACTCACTATATTAATCTCTTCGTTGTGATTTTTTTCTATATTCAGAAAAGTTGGCTTGATGACTGCTTGTATATATGAGACATTTTCCCTATCTCTTCTCGTTTACTGAACGTAAATTATGTGTGTATTTGTGCACTAACAAAGTCTAGTTCATTGATACTTCTCTTTTCATGAATCCTTCTATTTTAATTGAGTTTTGGA